GCATGTCAACATATTCTGTTACACCAAATACACAAAATAATGATCTTTAAAATAGCATCATATGACCCCTTTAAAGTTAAAATGTCTTAATGATATATTTGTTTATTTCAAATACACAGCTTTTGGATTACTTACATGATTGTGGACTCTCATTCTGACGGCACGCATTCACTGCAGAGGATCCATTGGATCCAAGATGGAATGCTAAATTTGTCCAAATCTGTTCCGATGAAGAAACAAACTAATCTACATCTTGGGTGGTTTGAGGTTGAGAAAATTTTCAGCCAATTTTTTATTTTTGAGTGAACTATTCCTTTATTCCTGTTAACAAATGGAACCTTGTTGTAAAATGCTACCACATTTATGTTTACATACAGAACGTAAATTTATTATTTGAAAATGATTTGATGATGCTTAATGATTATCTTACCTGCTATCAAGAGGCTGGGATCCTGCACATGACCATGCACTGCCCAGGCATATCAAAACCAGCACAAATACTGCAACCTTCATTTCTCCTTTAATGCTTCAAATCAGATTAGAGAAAAATAGATATCAAGCATCCAGCACCACTGATAACAAAACAGCTGAATGTATTTAGACCAACCTTTTCTCGTTCTGGTCCTGTGATGGTTCTGCTTCTGGCCCCTCTATTGGCTGAAACTGGTGCACAACTCTAAAGCAAACTACACTGGTCTTTTATACAGTGCGAGATTGACATTAACACCAGAATAACAACTTATTTCCACATCATTAAAACAATTAATAATGAGGGTGATACATAGACATAAAAGCTGATAAGGCAGCTTTTTCTTACAATCTTAGGCGTCACATCTATTTGCACTCTTTGTGGTTTGTACTAGACAAATAACATGTTCGAAGAACTGAAAATAGATAAATTACCCCATTAAACCATTAGTTTTTAAAGGCAAACATATTTTTATTATGCAAATTAGACAAATATTGGCTGATGTAAGGAAATGTTCCAAGCTAATGACTCGAGGTGTACATTTTCGGGCATTTTAAGAAAAGTCAACACATTATATTTCAAAGGTTCCTATGTCCTTGTTTTTTTAAGAATTTTAGAAAAAAAAAAAAACCATTCATATTTCTACTTCATTAATATTTTAAAGAAGATTGCCTTACTAAAAATAATGTAAAGATTTTGACTAAACATACATTTAAATATATTTTGTAAATATTGTTTCATATTCATTCATATACGTAATCTGCATAAAAAATGCAAGCATGTTCGTGACACAGATTATTAAAGGTGTTTAATTTATGTGTGTATGCAAGATTTACACAGTTAGAAATTAATTTATTCGTAATTGCTCGGTGCTTTTTTTTTTTTTTTTGACTGCTTGTTTCCGAAGCTTTTATTTTGAAAGCAGAACTTCCGCTGGGAGTAGCTCCAAAAAAATCAATGTATTTCTGCATGAACTTACCTATAGTGTCAAGTGTAACGTTAGTGATTTCAAAAAGAGATAAATTCTTCGCAGTTGTATGCTGTTAAAATATGCATTTATCAAAATACGCGCCTCAGCAGATAAGAAAATGCCTACGTCAGCGTTAGTTAATAATAAACGCATAGTTAATCGGATATTGCGAACTAAGAAAGTTATTTCATAGATATGATGGATGGAACCTCAGATTTATTTTGGCCGGCGATGCTGTTTACGCTTCTTGCAATTATAATAGCAGCAGTTTTTATGGGAAGAAATAAAGCTCCTGCGCTGTCAAAGTGCTCCCATCAAACTAGAGCTGCTGCTGTGGAGGAGAGAGCTGGTCCAGACCCCGGGGTTTCCTCACAGTATCACGAGAAACATCATAATGAAACCAGTCAACAGGACATTCAGCTGCAATCTAATGCAAAGAGCCTCGAAGCCAAGGATGAAACTATAAAACATGTAAAGGTAACGATTTATTCTGCTTTATGAATGCTTTTGTAATTGTTTATAAGCCAAATGATAATTACAAACCAATGAAAACATAAAAGATATGTTAAATGTTAATTCTATATTTCCCCTTAGGATTCAAACTCAGATAATGTGGAAAAAGTTTGCAAGTCAGATTCTCCAGTTCACTCCTCCATTGGATGGGAGGAGGATTCCTCAGAGTCTGGGATAAGGAATGCCCTGAGGGATTATGCTCAATCACCTGGTATAATAATAATAATAATAATAATAATAATAATATTTTTGTAGTAACTTCCTGTTTGTCAGTCTTAATATTGTTTATTATTACAAATTGTAGAAAATACCTTTTGGGTTACTATTTCATAAGAATTATATTAGACTGGTTTTAAAGTATTTTTGAACCTCAGATCTGTGAATAATATAAATGTATTCACAGACTTACTTCAATGAACATTTATTCTACTATTAACCGAATCATTATTTTAATAACAAGAACTATGTTGTATTGGAAAATGTATTATTTTCCAAGTCTCCATAACATTAGGATCCATGTTTTTTTCCCCCTGTGCCACCCACATTATATTTATTATTGTTAAATAGGATTTTAATTATTGATTTTATTATTGTTTAATAATGATTTTAATTTGATATTGTGAAAAATAAGTGAACTTAATTGAATTAAATGTGCACTTTTGTGTACTTCAAATATTAAAAGTATATATTTTTTACTAATATATAAAAAGCCACTTAAGAGACACACTTTCATGACTACTTTTTTTTACATCTACACTTAAAATGTGCACTTTGTAATTGTCAAATTAAAACTTTTACTTTAAAGTACATTTTAAATAATTGTTTTAATGATTTTTTTGTCACACTTTAAAGAAGTACTGTACACTTATTTTGATGTGGTGACTAACATACTGGAGCACATGGAAAGTACATGATTACAATTTTAACTGTAGTGTTATCTAATATTACATTTAAATTGAATATATTTTAAATGTACTAATTAACACTTGGTTGAAATGGTTTGATAATAAAAAATGTCCAAGAACTATTATACTAACGCAAATAATGTTCAAGGCAAATTTTGTTGACAAGGGTAATTTAATATGACTTTTGTTAAACACAATAAATGAATCAACAAATTCACAATTTGAGGAGGTTTTGACAAAATCTGAATGTTGCCGGCTTCTCGAGTATTACTGTTTGGTTATTTGGAGGCTGTATTCCTTAATACGTACAGTTAGTACGTATTACACTCAGTGGAGGCTGGTGAAAATTTTCTAGTTAGGGCGCCACATCCAACAATTTTAGCATACATCCCAGTATGATTTCTCCCAGTATAACAGAAGGAAAAGTATTAAGACTTGAAACATTAAACATTTAAATAAAGATAATTGTTTTACCAAGATCAAGATTGAGGATGATTCCCACAAAATTATATTTTCTGCAAGCCTTTTTCAAGATAAATGAAATTGTTTTTTATTTTTCATAATTCACAATTTATGTATATAGTACAACAGCAAAAACCGATAAAATAAATGTTACATTTGTTTAGAGCATTTTCTATACATACAAATAACTACAAGTCAAGCTGCAATACCAAACAGGACCACACGGAGATGCCAACAGACCACTAATAGTGTACGATTGCTGTATGTCACTGTTTGTCTTTACCTTTGTTACAATCGTCATCCATCTAAACTTTACTGGTGAGATACTGGTTTGCTTTATTCAGCCCATAAAGACTAGTTCTGACTATAGACTGTAAAAAAAAAAAGATAGACAACACACCTTCACTCTCTTCCATTGTAAAAATGTGAAGCCGCCAGTGTCCCAATAGGGCACCGACATCTCGGTCCCAAATCAGCGCAGTAGGCCATGTCCCAAATGGCACACTTCATGTGCACTTGCAGTCTTGTGCACTTACAATGGCCGCCGCGTGTGTGTGTCCATTAAGTCAACGAGACCGTAGGGTGTCCTATTCGTCGTTTTAGCTTTCAGAAGGGTGCTCGCGAGTGCCCCCTTTGCGGCCGCTGTGCGCCCTCGATGCGCACTTCTGCCGAGCCTGCACTGGTGCGAGCTCCGCAGCAGACTTCTACCCGACAGCCAAAGCGGAATTACGTCACTAAAGTGTGGACTCAGAGGATAACCGCGAGGGTTTAGGGTGCAATTTGGGACAGGGCCATAGTGAAATCGCCCAAAAAGGGGTGGTACTCCACAGAACATGACTTGATGCTGATTGGACTATATATTCAGAGGCAGAACGTTTCTCCGCCATGGGAACTCCTTCCCTTCAAACCTTTCCTGAAGTCCTATTGGCTCATGCCAGTCCAATTGACTGGCCAATTGTCGCGAAGTATGCAAATTGCATGCTAATACTAACGAGCTCGAGAGGCAGTATAAAATGTGGTGCACGCGACAATTATGTCAGAATCTAATACTGAACGCCGCTTAGCTGGTCGAGCAGTGAACACGGTGATCTCCGTGATGTCTCGTTCCCATTCTCAGGGAACCAAGGTTACTATAGTAACCGGATACGTTCCCTTTCAAGCTTTCACGAGACATCGCGGAGGTTTCTCTGCTATGGGAATGATATTCAATCCCACCGTGAGAGAGGCTATGAGCAGCCTGAACAAGCTACACACTCAGCAAGACAGAACACACACATAATTCCCATAACCAATAGCGATGCTTGTAGGTGGGCTCTCAGCTGATAGGTGGAGATAAGCCAATGAGCGTCTAAAACCCAGGTATACTAAATTTGCATATCTGGCCGGTAATAACATAGGCTGCGCTGAGAACAGGGCAGAAGCAACAACACTGTTGAGAAGAGGGCTGAACAGAGATAACTGTATTAAGCAGCATAACACATAACATGATGATGGAACACGAATCGAATTAGACATTTAATAACAGGAGCTGCACTGAATACAGGGCAGACAACAACAACAATAGCATAGAGGTCTGTGCAAAGTAGTAACTGTGTGAGGCAGATAACACACATGAATAGAGGTAGCATAACATGAATCAAGCACTCACCGACAGCACTTGGGAATTTAAGGACTGAACGTCCAGCTTGTAAACCTGACGAAGGTATTCCGAGAAGACCAGCTGGCAGCAAGGCATATATCCTGAATAGACATACCTCTTGACCACGCCCAGGAGGAGGCGATAGCTCTTGTTGAGTGGGCCCTAATGTGCAAAGGACATTCTAAACCTTGGCTCGTATAACAGCCGTGATAGCGTCCACAATCCAGTGGGAAAG